CTTTGGGGCTTTATTTCCTCTTTGTTCCTCTTTCCATGGTTCTGTTTAATTTATTTATTTATTGATTCTGAAACATCAGATATAGGTTTCTTCAGGAGGTGGAATAACAGAACTGGCCATCAGTAGGCCAGTCGAGATAAAAATGGATGAATTACAGTGTTTCCCAGCATGCCTCCCTAAAGGGAGTAACATCATCTTCCTCTTTTCAGCTTGCCATGCAGGCATTTTTGAGGAAATATCCCAATTGGTCAGGCATGGGGATGGGCTCCTTAGACTCGCAGATCAGCTTAATCCAGATCTCTTGCATTTTTATTTGATGAAATACCCTAAAGATTAATCAGTGCACAGTGCATATGGACCATGGGAGTGGCTATAGCATAAGCCTTTTAGAAATCCAGACATCTGGATAAAGTGAAGACAGCTTATCATGAGTGGGTTATGTGCTCTTCACTCCTCTAATACAACAGCAGGATTTGGGTTAAAGTTGAGATTTTTCAGCTATGATTTGTGGTTTTAATTTCACAAAGTAGTAGACTCTCTAAGTGTGCAGTGGAGCAGCCTGAGAGTAGTCAAGGCCCTGAACAGCTCCTTCATTTTACTTTGTTTCAAGCAAAATGTTGCATTGTTCCATCTCACTTTGAACTACAAGCCTCCAGGGCGTACACTGGAGTTTAAGCCACATCACCTTCAAAACCTCACTTCTTGCAAAAAGGTCCAGTCTTAGACCTGCAGAGCAGCAGTTTCAGCTGGCCTTCAATGAGATAAGGGACAGCAGAAAATGAGCCCTGACCTCATCAGAGCAAATAATCACTGTGATTCTAGCCCTTGTCCTCCCACAATTCACAGATCGGGTGTAGTATGGTATGACAAGTAGTTTTATAACAGCCTGAAGGGAGTAGGGATATTCCTGCAAGCTCATACCTTAGCTGCCACCAGTAAATGGGAGAATAACTGTATAGGATGCATCTCAAAAAAAAAGTGTGGACTACACACACAGAGCTCCCTTGATTCCTTCAAAGCAGTTCTGGACACACATATGTATGTGCTGTATAGTGTGCACATACATTGCTTTCAGTGCACCCAAGATACCCTCAACTGCCTGCAAATGCAGATGGCCAGCACATGGGCAGTACATCCATCACATTCTGGAGACATTAGGCTTGATGTGCATGTGCAGTCTCTCTGCAGCAATCTCCTGACAGGACCAAATTCCTCTTACCCTCTGTTTAAAACTTCCAGGTGAAAACGAGAACACGTTCAGGGATACCCAGGAGTTTGCTAGCCCCAAACATACTTGAGATTGTTTCCAAAAGGAATTCTGTTGGTTGCTGTGCTGGATGGATCAACTGCTACAAACGCCCACTCTGCACACACTCCCAGTGAGGTGGAGGCTTGAAAAACCTTGATGGAGTCCCAGTCCTGTGGCTTTGTGAGCCAAATGTTTCTGATGTAATCATATATTCAGTTAGCAGAAGGCTCTGTACCGCAGCAGCCAAACCATTTAACTTCTTTACCCATCTGTTAAATGTATACCTACTACTTCAGAGGGCTGTGTGATTTAATTTAATTAATGTTTGCAACAGACTTGGAAAGCATTAGGAGGAAGGTGCTAAACAAGGGCACAGTTTTTAGACTTTGAGTGGGGTTTTGAGATGATTATGGTTTACAAAAAGTTTAATTTTAGATCACTGTAACTATCAAGAGATTTGTCCCTGCTCACATGGTGAGACCATACCTATAGTCTGCCCCAGTCTTCCCCTAATGTATGTGTGGATGTTGGGACTTCTCCCCTCTGCATAAAGAAATTTGAGATCAGTAGTGATAATAATAATGTAGGCCCACAGATCCCTAGCAAATAAAACCCCAATATTTGGGAATAAGAATCTATTTAGGATTTAGTCTCTTGCCAACCTCCAGAGCATCCTTTAAAATATAGACTTTAATCCTATCTCAAATGCCAAACAAAAATACCAATTAAATGTCATTTTCTTTAAAAATGAGCTGACCTTTTTAGAAAAGGTGAGGCATTAAATTAAAAAAAAAAAATCTACAAACCTTTGAAGTAAAAAGGAACTAAACCAAAACAAAAAAAAAAATCTATTACACAGCATGCTCCCAAAATGAGGAAAATACCGAGATTTAACTGCAGTTCCCTTGTACCCCAACAATATTCTAAACCCTGTCTGGCTGGTGCTACTCTGCAGTGAGAGTTTGCCAACACTGCTGAAGCCCTGGACCGTACACCAGAAGAGCCAGTAGAGCACAGCGGAGGTCTGCATGGATCTGGTGCAAATTTACTTGCCTACAACCTATCTGTAACATGATTGCTGGAAGACTGCAGTCTTACCAGTATGGTACAGCAGCTGACTGGTTTTAATAGCCCTTCCCTCTTCTTCACACCCTCCCATCATAAGCAATCTAGCCCTCAACAAATATGGACATGACCTCAGACTTTCAATATGTATTGAAAATAAAGATGGCTTTCTACTTTGTAAGCAGTGTAAGTTTACAGGCATTTTATTGCATACCTTTACAAACATATGACAAAATGGTTTTATACACTCAGGAGTGCAACTTTCATTCGTAGTCTGCTCAAGTCCAAAGAGTTACACCAGAGACAGAGAAACACCTCAGCTCAAACACAGTTCCATCTAGTAAAAGGATGTTTCTAATGTCATCAGAGGGGCAGCATCAAGGACTCAACATCCAGCACACTAGAGAACAGGAGACTACTATTCAACAGTTGCTGCGAGTTATTCTCTGAATGTTTTCTTTTTGTAATGGCAATGTTTTAAGTTGTCTGGTTTCATGGAAAATGTGTTATTATATTTTACAATAAGCACAACAGGTCATACAATCACAGTAAGTATTCGTGTCTCTTATTGCCTGAATGCCCAATTAAGCTGCCAGCATCCTGCAAATCATAAAACCTGGCCTTTTCTTTCATTCCTCGGAATATCTGACCCTACTTTCTGCAGAGGGCAAGGCCTAATGTCAACAGCATAGTACTGATGGCTAAATGACATATATATATATATATATATGTACCTGTGTGTGCATATATACACACAGGCCAAGCAACAACTTCAACTGTTTCACTCACCAATATCTATTCCTGGTTATGCCTGGTGACCCAGAGATGAAGGTGTACATGTCCCAGCTACTCCTGTCTTTGAGCAATCCAGTCCTTCTGCAAAGAAACCACTAACTGGTTCAGGAAATAGTGATTGCTGTGGGCTACATGGATGCTCAGAGGACTGAGGAAAGATGCACAGGCTTTGACTTCTAAACCAGTGACAAGAATCATGTCTTAGCTGCAAATAATTTTCACCCGAGAGCACTGCTTACTTATAATGGATATCGAAGATAACAGGAATATAATCCCTCTGCATTTGTAAGCAGTTTTGTGTCTCAGCCTTGCACAACTGTAATGCTACTTACTTATATTAATGTGCACAGCTGCTCATTGCACACTAACATACAGATCACTGGCACTCTCCAGGTTTCTCACTCTCCATATGTTCACATTTCCATGAGCTGTCTCTCTAATACCTTTCTTTTCAATGCATGTCCCAGGTACTTTGCCAAGAAAATGCAAGAAAGAACTGCTGGCAGTAAAACTACGAAACAGACCAAGTAAGCAGGAGCTGGAAGACAGGAATATTTTCCCAAGGAGGACAGATGAGGAAAGACAGGAAATCCGGCAGCAAATTGAAATGAAACTCTCAAAGTAAGTCTGTCTAAGAACAGGGAGAAACCTCCCTTTACAATGGAGTGTCTTCTGAGTACTGTCAGATGAGACACTATCACCCACCCTCAAACCCATTTCCTGCAGTGAAGCATACACAAACCAATATAGTGTATTTTCAGCTGTCAATCAGTCACATGAAAAAAATCTTAACTTCAGTCAGGATTCCCTCGATTTCAATAGAAGACAAGAGAGAAGTCAATGTGGGAGACAAAATTCTGCCAAATCTATCTGCAGCTCCACTGACATAATCAAGACTTTGAGGTCCTCCAAGAAGGCTAGGGCTTTAACAAAATTTGATTATTATTTGGTAACCTCATTTTGCTCTATCAGCACTAGCTGAATTTAAGGATAAAGGGAATTGTTATAGCTGCATGTTTACTTAAACAAGGAAAAGCTGCTGTATACATTGGGGGCTGTATTTCTGCTTTAAGGAAGCAGCTTCAGCAGCATTGCCCTCACATGGGCAAAGATGTTTGTGTAAGTCAAGCTGCAGGGATGGTCTGATTTTGATCAGTAACCAGGGCAACAGCATAGAGCTATGAGAGAAATAGCATTACTGTAGTGTGTAGCCTAAAGCAAAGATTTAAGGTAACTGTGAGGCTCAGACTGCACCATTTAGGTTTTGTGCATGTTTTTTTAAGAGCTACATTTGGATATCCGCAAACATGAATGTTTTAGATGAGACAAAGTGGATTGTTAAATAATCAGTGCTGCGCCTGCCCACACTGGGACAGCGAGCACTGCACACCACCAAAATGCTTGGAATCAAATTGATAAACATGAACAGAAGTTCATTTTCAAGGCTTATTAAATATTAAATAGTTCAAGCCTCTCCTGAAAGAAACATTTATTGATATTTAGGCTAGCTCATTGATGTGTGTGCATTTGATTAAACTTTACCTCAGGGGACAGGGAACGAGAAGCACGCATATGGATCAGAGCATAGGTCCTAATGTACCAGAGTTTATGGAGGAAAACATCACTGCCATCACCACACTTGCCCTCACCTAAGAAACAAGCTGCTGAATGAACACAGATGGATTTTGGGTGCACTTCAGGATGTCCCTACAATGCTGGAGATGGAATAATCAACCTCCTCCAGTCTCAGTGATTGCTGTTTATTCTTCATAGCATGGTAGCACTTTACACCCAAAGCAGAACAGTGCATTGTGGCAGTGACTGCACAAGACAGAGCACATGACAGTCCCTGTCACGGAAAACATGTACATCCCATGCAAGTAAAAAATATCACATTACAATTTATATTAAGTTCTGAGAGTTACAGGTAGAGCAAGTCATACATATGCCACATTAACAACCATCATCTTAGGAAGGAAAATGTCATGGACTTTGACTATGGCCTTGATCATCCTGACCTTGTAAACCTTGTGTATTTGTTTCAGGGAAATTTTTCAAGCTGCACTCCAACACTGTTAATTGCAGTATTTTGGCCAACTAATTGCTCAGAAAATGTCTTCACAGGTCAGGAGCCTAATTTTATAGCTTTAAAATACACCAAAAATGGTTTCTACCCTACTCTATCCCTAAAACCAAGCTGTAACATCACAGAGTATTCACTCGTGAGAAGACTGTCTCATATCCACCCATACCTCATATAGCTGAAATACCTAGGTCACATCTCTTCAAAACAGCCTGATTAATCTTAATGTCAAATATCTAATGGAATTACATCTTCAGGTGGCATAACTACAGGTTTCATCCCTTTATTTCCATATACCATTCAGCATGCTTACTAATGAGCCTAAAGAATTCTTTTGGAGGAGGCATACCTAAAGTCTAGTGCCAGCACAAGGACTTAAAAAGGGAACCACTTTATTGGTGAAGAGAAAGGCTGGTCATTAGTAGAATCTACGAAATGTATAGTCTGTAGGTAAATGCAAAGAAGGAAGCCTCCATACTGCTAAGGTCTTACAGAGCAATCTGTGGTGCGGGCTATTAGTCTCACTAGTAATGTCTAAGGATGGCTAAAAGCCATCTTTGTTCCAAGTGCTGGAAGACAGGCTTTCGTTTAGCTCCTTCCTCCTGGAATATGGAAGATTCAGCACATCTCAGGGAACAGACGGTGCAGAGATTGCTTCCAATCTGTTTTACCATTCCTGGCTATTCCAACAATCTCCCACACAACTTCCAGCACATATGTGCGCTGGCAGAGCTCAGCTCCGCTCTTAACTCATCCACCAGAATAGAACATGACCGTGCAAACAAGCTCAGGTGGTGGATGCACGCAGGAAAATATTTACAAATCAGGAAAAGCATTTACATATAAAAAAAAAAAAAGGAAAAAGTACAAATGGGTACTGGTAAAGGCCAAAGAGTTAAAGCTCTGGAGATATTCCTCTGGAGTTTCTGACTAAGACTGACTAGGTCTCACCCCACAAAACTCAGACCACCCTAGAGTCCGCACGACCTGGCAGTAGCTGGAAAGGTAACCACAATGGGCAGAGTGAAAATCTTGCATGAAATTTCGAGGTCTTTAAACCCATTCATTTACTGGTACTCATGCAGCATAGTCTCTTTGTGACAACTTGGAATTTCATAGCTAAGGAATGCACTGCTAAGCGTTCAGGTGTGAAGCACTGATGGGGAAACAGGACCCAATAGACCTGTCTCTGTATGATTTTGCCACGACTTGTGCAGATGAGAGCACTTGCTGCAGCACCAGTAACACTTTGATAACATCAAGGGGGCTTGCCAGCTCAGTTATGAATCCACATGTACCATCAGACTATAGACCTGTACTTTAGCACACATGAATAACGTACAGGCGGATTAGTAAGTAGTCAGTGGCTGTCTGCGTAAGAATGGCAAGTAAACAGGCAGTTGTTTTCAAGATCAGTATTTTTCAGCACATTTGTAGGAATTTGAAAGTCTATACCTAGCAAATTGCCTCAGTCCCACAGCTAACACAGACTAGCTCTGTACTCCAGTGGGAAAGCTGTGCTGACATACAAAATGTGCAAAATATTCTGAATAATAGTGCCTATGTAAATTCAAAAATGGGGAGACAAAATAACATTTTCTCAAAACCGCTGTATTTTTAAATGGTTTTAGTTGTGATACATTTCAACAGTAGTTGTGAACCTGCAGAGAAAACCAAAACTCTGCTTTCCTGCTAATGAGCGTTTATGCAGTCAGCTAAAATTCCTATTTTTCTTCACTTTCCCAATCATTCAGTCTCAAAAGAGAGATGGAGGAATTCTGTTATATTTTTTGGGACAGATTCTACTTTTACAGCCATACAAGTCCTGACTTCAGATTTATTACTGACTGACAGCAGCATGAGTACAGATTCAAACATTCATCTATGTGTATCGCTGCTTTTGAAAAGTGTTATTTCCTGTATTTCGTGCTCCCAGCCAATTTAGCCTACTACTTGTTGCCGTGGAAACATGCCCTTCTCCTTCCTTCTCCATCCAAAATGGCAGTATTCCATTTTCCCCAGATTTCCCTTTCCAGCAGTGTTTTCTCTTACTAATTCATGCATCCCTAGGGTCCCAGGACATGGTGTGCACTTGCAACATTCTACTGTGCGTTAGGCAACAGGGATCCCAACAGGTCTCTGTTCCCACTATTATGGGTTCGGAGTGCAGATGTCCTCGATGGAATTCAGTGAATCGAGAGCTCTTTGTGTCAAGAGACAGAAAACATATTTGCAAGTACGATTATTTGCAATAACTGCTTTCTGCCTTACAGACTCACTTTGTTCTGGAAGGGATTTAAGATGAAACCTGGAGGAGTAGAATAGTTGCTAGACTGATGAGTGACACAGGAAAAGGCTGTTTAATTAAATTTTATATCTGATTGTTTAGAAAGTTAATGTTTGAACCGCCTGGGCGGCTGGTGCTTCTCAAGTATGCCTTGTATAACCACAGTTAAAGACACTCCATTATTACTTAATGTTTCAGTGAAAACATGAATACCTGGAAAAGATTATACTTGTAATTTTCACTTCAGATTCTGTTTTACCTCCTTGGATATTTGCATAAGTAGACACGATGCCTTAAAAGATTATGGAGACAGGAGTTCAGATACAGAAATGTGGGCACAAAAGGAATCAGACAGGAAGAATGATGATTTTGTGGACACAGAGCCGAAACAAAACTTGAGCACCTAAAACTGATCTTTAGCACACTGAAAATTTTGGCCTGGGTAAGTGAATCATGCTGGGGCAAGATTTCTTGACCATGTAAATTGAAATGGAGGTATCTTTACTCAGTACCTTACCACATCTGGAAATCTGCAGTTCTAGTGCTGCCCTGAGGTTCTTGGAAAGGCATTTTCGAGTTGACTTGCCCAGAAACTGCAGACGTAGCTAAATGCACACCCAGATTAGACCCTGGTTTGTACCTCAGCCTCATGTAACAGAGCGTGAAGTTCACAGTGCTGCTGGAGACAGAACAATACCAAGCAAACAGCACTTCAGATTTGCAGCCTAAAAGCATAGAGCGTGACATTTCAACACAGAGAAATCATAAAGGAAAATTCTACCTATCAACAAACCAAAAGCTGTACCCGTTTCCCAGGAGCAGAATGTCCAGTGCCACTTCCTCAAAGAAATGGCTCAGTGCAGCTTTTCTGACGGATTTACTTGGGAACTGGGCTGAATCCATATAACTTTGTGGAATATTTGATTTGATTTTGACCAAAATGGGAGTTGTGGTGTACAAACTACCAGCAGCCTTAATGCAGAAGCATGTTACGTAGGTACTGAAGTGAGCCCAGTTTAGAGACTAACCTAAATTCAACTGAAGGTTTTTTGATGAACCTCCAACTGTGCTCAGACTCCCACTCGCTGAACTAGAAATCAGGGAACTGCCCTGATTTCAGAGGGCTGGGAAGACTTGACACAGATTTATTGTAGAGACAGAAATGCAGAGAGAGGCACAAAGAAAAGATCAGCTGTCACTGCTAATTAGCTATGTACAATTTAATGCATTTCATTCTTATTTGGCAGGGAT